CTGGTGCTAGTGCCCAGGTGTATTCTACTCCACCCCTGTTGAGAACACTGAGCACAGATCAAGGAGACCCAAATTGGAATTTCCACTCTACCTTTTGGTCATGTGTCACCTTGGACAAGTCACTTGACCTCAGCTCTCTTGTCCGCAAGCTAGGGGATTACTGGCCTCACTTCTCACTATGGTGTAGTGCACAGTTCCAGGGGAAGCTATTTGCACATACTGCAGTATGCACAGCCTCTGGGGAGTGTTCATGAGGCAGCCCTGGGCCGATAATCATCCTGCTTAGTCAGAAGTTTGTTGTAGGTTTCCAACAGAAGATGCATGTAGAAATGCTCTAAAAACCCTCAAGCATGGTCCACAAATAAGGTGGTATCAGTACTGTTTTGCAAAAGCCTTCAGTAGGATGATCGACAGATACAACACAATCCCGATCAAAATTCCAACAGCATTCTTCACAAAAATGGAAAAACTAATCCTTATTTTTATATGGAAAACCGAGAGACTGAATGGCTGAAGCAATTTTGAACAAAGTCGGAGACCTCACACTTTTAGACTTCAAAGCTTATTACACAGCCACAGTAAACAAAACATAGACATAGTTTAATGATAGATGCATAGACCAATGGAGTAGAATTGAAAACTGAGAAATAAATCCAAATATTTATGGTCAATTGATTTTCAACAAGGGTGCCAAATCCATTCAATGGAGAAGGAACAGTCTTTTCAACAAATGATGCCGGAAAAGCTGGATTTTCACATGCAGAAAAAGGAAACAAGATCCATACCTTACACCACACACAAAACTAATTTAAAATGGATCAAGGTCCTAAATGTTAAATCTAAAACCATAAAATTCTTGGAAGAAAATACAGGAGCAAAGCTTTGGGACCTAATTTTTTTCAGTGATAGATCATCAGACACAACGGTGAATGAATGAGCAACAGAAAACAAAAACAGATAACTGGGACCTCATAAAAGTTAAATACTTAAGTTCTTCAAAAGAGTAAAGAGACAACCTACAGACTGGGAAAAATATCTCTGAGAATGATGTAACTGATAAGGGTCTAATATCTAAAATATAGAAAACTTCTACAACTTAACAACAAAAAGACAAATAGCCCAATCAAAAACTGGGCAAAGGACATGAAAAGACACTTCACCAAAGAGAATATTCAAATGGCCAACAGATACATGAAAAAATGCTCAACATCATTAGTCATCAGAGAAATGCAAATCAAAACCACAATGAGATACTATTTCACTGCTACTAGGACGGCTAAAATAAAAAAAAAAAAATCAATAACAAGTGTTGGAGGGGATGTGGGATTCTTGGAACCCTCATCCATTGCTGGTAGGAATGCAAAATGGTACAGTCATTGTGGAAAACAGTCAGATGGTTCCTCAAAAAACTAGAGGTAGAGCTGCCATATGACTTAGCAAATTCCACTACTAGGTGTATACCCTAGAGATCTAATGGAATTGACATAGACAGACGTATGCATACCTATGTTCATCACAGCACTATTCACAATAGCAAAAAGATGGGAACAAGCTAAGTGCCCATCAACCGATGAATGGATAAGTAAAATGTGGTACATACATACAATGGAATACTACTCAGCAATAAAGAAAAATGAGTTCCCAAAACATCTTACAATGTGGATGAACCTGGAGGACATTACGTTGAGCAAAATAAGTCAATCACACACACACACAAAATATTGTATGTTCTCACTTTTATAAAGTGACATGAATAGGTAAATATCCAGAAACTAATGTTCATTAGTGTTTACCAGGGATGGTGAGGGGAGCAAGGTGGATTCATTCTCTAGATAGTAGACCCTTGTTATTCTTGGTGATGGGAAAGGTAACACTGAATGAGGGTGAAGTGTACACAGCTTGACAAAGGTAAGCAATGTCACTAAGAAATATACAAAAGAAAAGGAACTGTTGGTAATTGCTATGGCATACATAAGTTTGAAATAACAGCAAAATCAACCAAAAAATATATTTGCTGTCACATATGTATGTAAGTAGGCATATATATGTATTGATATGTGTAAGTGTGTATATATAGATGTATGCATATGTGTGTGCATGTATGTGACTATGCACATATATTCATATATGTAATAAAGCACATAGGGGACACAGTTACAGATACTTCTTAGACATAACTAAACACCTCATGGGATTGGATTTCTGGATTTGAAGGATTAGGACCATAGTCTCATGGAAAACATCTCGGTCAATTGGCATAGTATAGTTCATAAAGTTATGTTCTGCATCTTAGTTTGATGAGTAGTATCTGGGGTCTTGAAAGCTTGTGAGCAGCCATCTAAGATACAACTATTGGTGTCTACTCATCCAGAGCAAAAGAGAAAGGAAACCAAAGACTCAAAGAAGAAACTAGTCTACAGGAGAAATAGTCTACATGAACCATGGCCTCATCTACCCTGAGACCAGAAGAACTAGAAGGTGCCTGGCTACCACTACCAACCATTCTAATCAGGGCCACAATAGATGGAATCTGATAGAATGGGAGAAAAATGTGAACAGAATCTCAAATTCCTAAAAAAAAAAGAGAGAGAGAGAAAAAAAGCCCTGCTGGACTGGTTGAGACTGGAGGACTTCCTGAGACTATTGCCCTGGGATACTCTTTAGACCTTGAAATGAAACTAACCCGAGGTCACCTTGTAGCTAAATAACAAATTGGCTCAAAAAATAATGACCATCACAAGTAAGTACTGTGCTCCTTTAAAAAATCACCTATATGAGAACAAATAGTCAACAATTACTTTAAAACAAAGATGAGAATGTAAAGGGACAGGGAAATGAAACATCCAGAACAGAAATAATGACAGTGTTCATGCATTGTGAAGAATGATCAATGTCACTGAACAATTTATATAGAAATTGTGGAATGGGAACCTAAATAGCTGTGTAAACCTCCACTGGGGTGGGGGGTAGGGGGGACTTGAGTAGTTTCTAAGTGCCTGTAAAATCAACTCTGAATTCCTCAGCTCTTATGATCAAGCCAAGACCAACAGTCAAACTCATCTCCCTCTGCTCTCCACATCTTGCCTGCTACCCCTGCCAGGTCCCTGTTTGTTTGTTTTTTTTTGTCTTGAGAATCCCATCAACCATCTCTGTCAGCACATCATGTGATCTAGGAATGAAAAAAATCCCTGAGTGAGGGGACAGGAGGCATGGAAGTTGTCCTGGCAACAAAGGGTCTCACAGAATTCTTCCCTCCACCAAAGACCTGCAGTGGCTCTGAATGTTCTGCTGGGCTTCTGAATGTGTCACCATAGTGGACAGTACATGTATAGGGTGTGAGTTCGTGTTTGTTTTGTTTTCAGTCTCCCTGGGTTCCTGACTTTTGACATCAGGACCCAGGCATCTCTGCTCCTTGATTTCATTCTGCACGGTGAGTCTGTTTCTCCTTCCCCAGAAATCCTCTCTTCCCCTTCCACATGGCCAAATTCTGTCCATCCTTCAGGCCCCTCCTCTTCCACGAAATCTTTCCCAGTCCCTTCAGCCCACGTGGATCTCTTTCTTTTCCTAATCCCATGGCACTTGCATTATGTGGCGGCCCACCTGCTGGCACAGAGTCCAGTGCCTTGTGCCATGTTTAAGGCCACCCTGAATATATGATGATGCCCATTTCATAGTAGGAGGATCCATCATAACAACAATGGCAAATATTAACATAGCATAGTCCATATGCCATGCACCAGGCTTCTGATTTGTTTAATCCTCACACAAATCCTACAGACTAGGTATTCCTAGTACCATATTTTACAGCAGAGGAAGCGGAGGCACACAGATGTTAAGTAACTTGTCCAAGGCCATGTCACTGTTAACAGGCAGAGCTGGGTTTTAAACCTAGGCATTTAGCAGCAAAGTAAAGGCTCTTACAGCATCACAAAAAAAAAAAAAAAAAAAAAAATTTTAAGAGAATTTGAATGTACAAACACTTAGAGCTGTAGATTAAATAGCTGAACGTCTATTTTGCTATTATTTAACTATATTTGAGCATACTTGGTATTTTATCAGATCTTTGTTGTTTTGGCTCACCAGCAAGGCCATAAACTTCTTAAGGTAATAACTGAGCCCCTTCTTGCCTTCCTATTTCTCTCTCATTTCCTCCTTTCACCCCTCCCTTCTCTTTTCCCCCTCCCTCCCTCTTTCTCTCCTTCTACTTTTTCTCTTTCTTTCCTTCCTATCTTTTCTTTGTCATTTGCAGTTTCTAGCATAGTCCCCCGTGCATAGCAGATGTTGAAAGAACTCTTGGCGAATTTCACTGCCACGCACAGTTAGCTGGTTTATCAAAAATTACACCGTCTGTGGTCAAAGCCCTTCACACAAACATTGGGTGAGCACCCGCTTGATGTCTAGCACCATGCTAGGTCCCTGGGACACGTCAGAGCACAGAGCAGGCACATGGCTAGCCCTCGTGAAGTTTACATCACTGCAGTGTTCTACCCATACCCTACGCTTGCTTAGCCCAGAGCCTTTTCACATATTTATTTTAGTTGGTTCATGCCAGCTGTATGTTGTAGGTACCATTATTCCCAGTTTACAGATGAGAAAACTGAGGCTCAACAAGGTCAATGATTGTCCCAAGGTTGCGCAGCTTGTGGGCACCACAACCAAGATTCAAACCCAAGTCTTCTCAGGTTGCCTAAACCTGTGCTACATCTTGTCTGATGAAGGTCTCCTGGTGAAACCTGCAGAATAATTGGGTCATCCACTTACAGGGAAATTCTGATTTTATTCCTCATCCACCACCCCCATAGGTCAAAGTCATGCTTATTTGAAAATTATTCCCACCAAAATGAGCAGTTCCAAGGAGGTGCAGAAACGTAAAAGCTTCTGAACATCAACTTTCATCTCAAGGATTACCCAACTGAGTAGTTAGTGTAACCCTCATAATAGAAAAGAAGAACTGAACCAAACTTGATATCTTTCTGAAAACTTGCAAAACCTGACAAGCTAGGCCTGTTTAAAACAGGAAGCCATGTTGCTCCCCACCTTACTAATGCCTGTGAATCAGATGGTATCTCTGTCCCATAAGTGGAGAGACCTAAGCCATATCACTGGACGCTTAAAGACTGTACAAAATTAACAGGTACCATTTGCCTTCTTTTTGTGCTCATCTGGGCTATAGCTTATCGAAATGCAACAGAAGCTGTTTATTGAGAAGCAATTTCTAGGTAGGCTCTCAAATTTCTAGAAAAAAGGTAGATGGAGTAAGGGGTCTAGGTGGGTGGAAGCAGTACCTCCCTGGAGTGTTCTTGGAAGCAGGAGGGAAGCAGCACCTCCCTGGAATGTTCTTAGACGCAAGACAGAGAGGAGGAGGGAGAGCTAAGGCAATTTAGTAGGTAGTATGAGGGCCGGAGTGCTGCTGGCACAGTGGTTAAGAGCTTGGCTGTTAACCAAAAAGATTAACAATTGGAATCCACCAGCAGATTCTTGGAAAACTTATGGGGCAGTTCTACTCTGTCCTGTAGGGTCACTATGAGTTGCAATCAACTGCATGGCAGTGGGATGGGGGCTGGAGTGGGAGGGAGAGTATATTGCTAAATACATTCCTTCATTTTCTTCTTGCTTTTATTCTCCCAATTTCCTTTTATTTCTCCTGCGCATAGTATGATTCATTTGCCTCTTCCACTCACCCAGACTTGGCCCCTTACAGTTGCTCAGTCAACGTTGTCTGTGCCCATGTTGCCTTCCTTGTGCTTTTGCAAATGCGCACAATTCTTCAAAATATGACCACTCCAGAAGGACTGTTTGCTTTGGTATTTACTTATGTTGACTTGTAAGAAATACTCAGTGAAAATAGAATTTATGTTTATATATATATATATGTAATGTGTATGTATATATATACATTTCAAGCTTTCATTATAAATCCACTCTAAGGCTGCTAGATGAATTAGTTGATCCATATACAATTTTCAATTTGTTATCCTTTTATCTGGATCAACCAGGCTGGCTGGTTGCTTTTTCTGGATCTGCTTTAGAGGGTGGGTATAGAACGCTTTACCTGATCTTCAGGGAAACCCTAGATTGGCTTGGGATGGAGTTAACTGTTGTTTGACAAGGGCTTGGAGGGAGAATAGTGGGAGTATGGGGTCTTTAGTATGTGGATGTGGCAGGAGTTGGAAGGTATCTGCAGCTCTTCTCAGAAGGTGGGGATGATTACATTGAACCATGGAGGCTGAGTTATTTCTCCTGGGGGAAGAAATGTGAGCCCTTCCTATGACGCAAGAGGAAAATAGCAGTTATGCCCAACAGAACAAAATGGGTAAAGGGCACAGCCAGATAATTCACAGAAAAGGAAATATCAATGACTAATAATTACAGTAAAAAAAAATCCCTCAGTAAGGACTAAATAGAAGTTAATTACAGCAATAATGACATATGTCTTGCCTATCCAAGTGGCAAAGTGCTTTTTTCTGTTAGGTCCTCTCCAGGTTGACGGGTGCGTGTTGAGACTGACACCATCACCTACGGGTGCCAAGAGTATAGACATTGTTCCACACTTTCTGGAAGCAATTTGGCAAAATGCATCAAGAGCCTTAGAAATATGATTAGAGGTAGAAATTATGCTTTGGGGAACCTTCTTGAAAGAAACAATTAAAAAATGCAGACAAAGGTGTTTATTGCAGCATTGTTTATCACAGTGGGAATTGGGAATGACTTAACCACGCAGTAGTAAGGCAACGATTAAATAACCATGAAACATCTATACAATATGTTGGAGTCATTACAAGCTATGTTTTTGAGTAATTTTTAACCACATGGAACTAGGTGCTGCGTATAAAATTTTAAATATCAGAATACAAAACTATATACAAATGTGATACTACATACACATATGATTGGTATATATATCATGCATATGGTGTGTGTATATATAATATATATATGTGGTATATATATGGTACCTGGAGTCCCTGGGTGGTGCAAATAGTTAACATGCTCAGCTACCAGAGGCACCTCAGAAGAAAGGCCTGGTGATTACTTGTGAAAAATCATCCATTCAAAACCTATGGAGCACAGTTCTACTCTGACACACATGGGGTCACCATGAGTCAGGGTCGACTCAATGGCAACTGTTTTATACGGTACATAGAAAAGAAGCTGTGGTTCTCTCTTGGTGGCACAGTCAGAAGTGGAAATAGCAGAAAGCTGAATCCGATGGTCATGCTGACCACCCTACAACCACATTATTTTGGTTGCATGGACATAAATTCGCTATGAAAGCACATTCTTCATGATCATCTCTTTCAACTAAATTACATGGCCTTCATATACAAAAACTGAAAACCAACTGCATTTAACACGTGCTATTGAAAAAGAAAGCAAGTCCAATCTTTGGGCAAGGAAGTTGTTAATAATATTCAAAGTACTTGGCAGGTGGATGAAACCAAGTGACTTAAAATGAACGAAGCATAGTCCAAGAGTGGGCTGTAATCTTTGTCTAGTCGTTAATATTAATGAGCAGCAGCTGTGGAAGTCCATGTGCTGCCCTAAAAATTAAATGTTGGGAAACAGCAGTAGCTGGGAAGAACATTGCATTCATTCCTGATTTCAACTTTGAGAGGTTGTTCTTGTGTACTTCCCAGGAGGGAGCTTCCTAGCTCACCAGGAGCACATTCTGTTCCTGCACTGCTCTGGTGTTCTCAGAGTTTTTCCCCTTGTGTGGCTGTAATCTAGTTTCCTCCCTATTACAGTTGCTATCGAGTTGATTCAGACTCATGGAGATCCCATATGGTTCAGAGCAAAACTGTGCTCCATAGGGTTCTCAACAGCTGTGACTTTTCAGAAGCAGATTGCCAAGACTTTCTTCCAATGCACCTATGGGTGGCTTCAAACCATCAACTTTTCGGTTAGTAGCTGAGTGCTTAACCATTTGCAGCACCCAGGGACTCCTAGTTTCTTCCAATGCCATCAAATTTCTGCTTTCTGGAGAGTTGACTTCTTCTTCTACAGGAAAAGCTATCATATCATAGACTCTTCCATCTGGAAGGGACTTAAAACATTGCCTTCAACAAAAATGACTAGAAAACTTTGGTCCAATGAAAGACACATAAGTAGTGGCAAAATAGAAACTAAAATGAATCTGAAGACTTTTATTTTTCAGACAAAACATTGCAGGTTCTGCCACCTATGACTGATGTTTCTACCCCTTTATCACCCTGGCCAGTCTGGCTCTCCAGGTTGATATTAACCCTCTTAAAATGGAGCACCTGGAATAGAACATAATATTTCAGATGTGTCGTCTTAACAGTGCAAAGCAGACTAAACATTGTTATGCTCCATCCTTCCATCCATTTAGGAAGAACTTATGAGGAAGCTACTACTTCTCAGGTGTCTTGCTGGGCCCTAGTCCCGCACTGTCCAATATGGCAGCCACTAGCCATGTGCGGGTATTTAAATTTGAATGAATTAAAATTAAATACAATTAAAAATTCAGTTTCTCAGTTGCACCAGCCGCGTTTCAAGTGCTCAGTAGCCACATGTGGCTAGTGGCTGCTGTACTGGACAGCACAGATGTAGAACATTTCCATCATTGCAGAAAAGCTCTATTGGACCGTGGTGCTGCACTAGATGTGAAGTGTCCAGAGTCGCGTTGTTGTTGTTGGGTACCACTGAGTCAATTCCACCTCCTAGTGACCACATGGGACAGAGTAGAACTTCCCCATAAGGTTTTCTAGGCTGTAATCTTTCCAGGAGCAGATCGTTATGTCTTTTTCCCGTGGAGCCACTGAGTGGATTCAAATCACCAACCTTTCAGTTAGCAGCTGAGTGCTTAACTATTTGCACCACCAGGGCTCCTTAAAGTGTCTAGAGAGGAACATCAAACAGATATCTACTCAATAAATATTCATCTTCTCACCCCCTAAAGTTCAAAAGTATCCAAAAGCTTTCTCTTTACTTTTTTCTAGTTTATGTCTAACGGTTTAGGTTTTTAATTGAATGGCTATCAGTCAAATTCTTAAGATCTTTTATCAAAACTAGACTATCTTAAAGAACAATGAAAGACCATTGGTCAGTCTGTGCTTTGCGGTCTTTGAAAGGTTGAGGATGTGTCCCATTCTAGTTAGGAGTAAGCCAAATGTGGTGCAGTGGATAAGCACTTGGCTGCTAACCAAAAGGTTGACAGTTCGAACTCACCATCCACTCCATGGGAGAGAGATGTGGTAGTCTGCTTCCATAAAGAGTACTGCCTTGGAAACCCTATGGAGCAGTTCTACTCTGTCCTATAGTGTTGCTATCTTGATGGCAATGGGTTTTGGAGCCAAAAAGACACAAGATCAAGTCCCAACTCTGTCAGACACTAACAGAATAGCCTGAGCAAGTGACTGAGCATGTCGAGCCTCCATTTACTCATCTGTAAAATGGGGACATAAAAAACCTACCCTGAAAAGTCATGAGGACAAGCAAACATATATGACAAATGCCTGGCCTCCCTAAGGCAAAATTATTATTGATTCTTAACTCACAGTGGTTGTCAGTTAAGAATGTATGCTTCAAAAACTCAGAGACCATTTTCTTCCCAATAGTTTTTCCCTTCCCAGGTGGTTGCTGGCAACAAGAAAAAAAGCAATCATACAAAGAATGTTTTAGACCATACCATGCGTTATTTGATCCATGCTGAGAAATGAATGTTTCTTCCATTCAGAGGCACTGTGAGGGCTGGTGATGAAGACCAAAGCGTTGGAGTTTCCGTGTGCTGGTTTTATTTGGAGGATTTTTGCAGTTTAACAAGACTGAATTGAATTGATGCTCATTAGGAGGGGCTCTGGGTTGCAGGAGGCGGGGAGAGGTTGAGGGTGCAGGGAAGTAGTCTCCACTTCTACAAATACAAAGAGTTTTGAATTATTGCACAGTGGAGGTGCCCTTTGGGTTCACTCAGGGACAGAGACAATGTTTCCTACCAAGACATGTAAACACACAGGCTGAAAGACTGGGGCCTCTCAAGAGAAGAGCAGGGGCTTTGTGGTTATGGCTCAATGTCAGAATTTTCTGGAAGCACTAAGAACTGCAGCAGAAGGAGGAGAAGAGAAAATGTGGGCATGAGAGTCTCACACACTGGATAATTTGGAGGCCTCAAGGGACTTGGCATCCATGTGGCCCACGTGGCCACATGGAGGTGCATATGATGGTCATCTGAAGGGCCAGCAGGTAGACAGAGGCTGGCTGAGCCCAACCGGAGCAGATGGCAAGCCTGTAAGAGGAAGTTCCTCCCCTCCACCCCCAGTCTAGGTGAGTGCATGCCAGCCTCACCAAGACTGCAGAGAAGAACCAAGCTACTAACATTTCTAAACTTTAAAACAAAATTCCCACAGTTGACCTAGTATGGTCTCCATTTCAGGCTTCTCGGGTGAGGTTTCAGCTTGTGGTTTCAAGTTCAGATGAGCAAACCCTTTATCTTGTCACTGGCCTACATTTCAATCCATTTGCTTTTTAGAAAATGTATTTGTCAAATCTTCCAGCAGCCCCCACTTGAAAGCACTTGCTTTCAATTACAGTTTAATTGGTAAGGGAATAAAGCAAAATTAGAAATGTTGTAACTTTAAAAACCACAAAATCGGAAAAACAAAACAAAAGAGCAGCTCACCAATAATCCACTTCCTGACTACAACTATTTTCATTATTTGAATATTGCCTTTTCTATGTATATAGTTTCATGTTGTAATTTTAGTGTACACACTTCAAATTCTCTTTCATTTTTCACAAATGTTTGTCTTAATGGCTGCATTAATAATCTACTGTGTAAACAGACCACAATTTATTCAAAATATCCTTGAAGTGTTGAGTATTTAGGCTGTTCCCATTTCTTTCTTTTTGTTATGAAAATGATACCATGGGAACATTTTTGTGTATATCGTTTCGTGGTTTGGTTGACTTTTTTTTTTTTCCTTTAGGGTTAATTCCTAGTCATGTCCATTTTGATTTTATACCTTGACCATATATATGTATATATATATATGAATGAGTGCTCCAGTTACTCTGCAGCCTCACCAGCATTGAGTCTCATCACTGTACATAATAATTATTTTGCTAATTAAAATGGTATTCAAACTTATATTTCTAAGGAACGGTTTCCAGTTCTAGGTTTTTAATCTCAATCTTTCTCAATTCAACTGTGCAACATCCATTAAGCCTGGTGAATGTAGAGCTATGCTTGTTAGTGTGAAAGATGTCCAACGCATATTACAGGGTAAGAATGTACTATAGAATAGTTTTGATTTCAAGAGTCAGGGTGGGTGGATTAGACCATAGAGATTTATGTTGGAGAGGACCTGGCCAGACAAGAATAGGGAAAGTATCTCCACTCCTCTGACTTCAGAAGAGAAACAGTGGTTCTGGAGGGAAGCAGTCCTACCTGTGGGTCCCTACCTCCCCCATCCAGGCTTTGGCTAGAGTTGGGTGGTATGAAGGGTTGTCTGATAAGTTGAGGGGACAACCAAGAGGACATCTCTCAGCAGGACAGCTCCCTACCCACATGGGTTGGCCAGTGCAGTTAAGTTGGTGGTCAGCTAGAGAAAAGATAAAGTTTGTACTCTTGAGTGTTCCTTGGTTTCTACATGACGAGGGCATGGAGTCCAGGAGGAGCATGTCTGCCTGGGTCCCACCAGCCCAGGAGAAGGTGCATAGCCCAGGCCAGGGCTCTAGTGGAGATGTGAATAGAGAAAATTCTCCATTCCAGCCAGAGCACAGGGATCGCTCTGTCAGCTGTGAGAGCTCACTAGGTACAGGAAAACCTGAGAACAAATGGGCCATGAGTCCATTAGCTAAAAACCATTGAAGTAGATTCCAGCAAAAGGCTCAGATGGAGACCAGGTGGCCCCACCTCACCATACACCAGCCACATAAATCAAGGACCAGCAGGAGACCAGAGTGCCCCTTCATACTCTGCCCCATGCCTTGAGTCATGCTAACCCCTCTCCTGTATCTCAGCTGCCACCTTAGAGAGGACCAACGGGAGAAGACAAGAAACTGAAATTATAAGCTGGCACTATAAAAAGGATTATGAAAGCTTAAAGTCGCCATTCAAATGAATGGATCAGGCTGAGTTTTAAACCACTTTGAACTAAAATTTGTAAATACTTTTCCTGATACCCAGCAGGTGGGAAGCTGGTGACAGAGATCAAACTGGTTTTGAAGACTAAAAAAACTTCATTTACATTGTACAGCTGAGTTGTGCACTGAGAGTAATTTCAGTGAACCAGCTAAAATAGTATGATCTTATTTTTGTAAAACTTGTATACATGTATGCATATCTGCATAGAGAAATGTTAACTGTAGTAAATTCTGCCTGGTGAGAAATGAGGTGTTTTTTACTTTTGTTTTTGTGCTTTTCTTTATTGTTGTTTTCGGTTGTTTGTTTGCTATTGCCATATCATTTGTCTAAAATGCGAGAAGCTATTTTTTAAAGGCTAAATATAAACCTCTTGACTGTTTCAGACTGGAAGATTTGTCTCAATTTGAACCAGGTAGACAAATGTAAACCATATTAGTTTTCCTATTTTTGACCCCATGTAACTAGTAATCAAGGACTTGGCTTCTGACTCTTGAGAACCTCCACGATTTCCTGGGCTTGCACCTCTGAGCAGAAAGCTCATAGGCAGCCCTGAAGCCCAAACCAGAAGATTCTATGATTCTACCATACAGATCATATTAATCTTATTGAAGTGACACATGAATTAAAAACTAAAGTTGAGTAAAATTTGGTGACTTTTTAAAAAAGTTTGACTTGCTTTTAAATCATTCTGGGATAAAACGAAAGAAAGTACAATTAATGGTAAGAGGAGGCCACCATTGCCTCTGACCTCCAGAGCACACATTGGAGCAAGCACTGTACTGTTCCTTTCTTGCTTTAGACACTAAAGTTTACCTGGACGCTCTCTGCGATTGTAAATGCATAATGGACAAGATGATGAGCAATTTTTTCTCACCTGCTGTGGAATATGAAATTAGGAACAAGAATGCTGATAAGATTATACATATTCAATTGTTCTTTAATTCCATTTTTCTACTCAAAACCCTGGAATGTGTCACTGATCCATGGAAGATATACTGGGACAGACCCATGAACAAAGATCCACAAGTTCTACCCAAAGGACCACACTTTTTCCTAATTTCATTTGAAATAGCTTCCCCTTGCCTTTCTTTTACCCCTGCTTCCTATTAATTTTACAGCTTTTTAGACTTTAAAACGTGATCTTACTTATAGTCTCTCATTTGGTCATCACGACAACACCTAGTTGGATCATTAACCTTATTTTGGAGATGAGAAAATTAGACTCAGAGAGTTATGGGCTTGTCCAAGTCATACAGCTGGTGAGGGGGGCTAGCAATGGCTCCTCATCTCCCATCTCTACTCTCACTCACTTTTGACCACACAGAACCCTGTTGATGCTGACCTGTGGGGTCTCAGCATTCTGTTAAGAGGTGAAGACAATTCCTTGCTATTGGCTCCAATTATTGAATTTCTAAGACTTATCTGGAAGAATGCTCACTGACACATGTGTTCATGTCCTAACAGTAGCCTTCCTCAGAGATTGGAGAAAGCAAGTAGAACTCCCTCTGAGGAAGCAGTGCACGGATTAACTGCGGGAGTCCCTGGGTGGTGCAAATGGTTAACATACTTAGCTGCTAATTGGAAGGCTGAAGGTTCAAGTCCACCCAGAGGTGCCTGGGAAGAAAGGTCTGCAATCTGCTTCCAAAAAATCAGCCATTGAAAACCCTATAGAGCACCGGTCTACTCTGACACACGTGGAGTTGCTATGAGTTGAAGTTGACTCAGTAAAGTCTGTAATCTTAAGAAAAGCAGGCACTGGCCCTAGGGCTCACAGTCTGAAAAATATCAACTCTAATAAGAAATTCCATTGACCCACCCCTCCTGCTCAGCCCTTTGTGAAGGAGAAGCTCTTGGCGGGTTTGCTCTTAGCACATGACTGGCTTATCTCAGCATTATCAGGAGCAGGAAAGGAAAGCAGCCTGGGTTAATGTCGTTTATAATTATAATGAGTATAATAGCTAGAGGAGCCCTGGTTGCACAGTGGTTAAGGCACTTGGCTGTTAACCAAAAGGTCGACCGTTCGAACCTACCAACAGCTCTTCAGGAAAAAGATGTGGTAGTCTCCTTCCATAAAGATTTGCAGCCCTGGAAAACCTATGGGGCAGTTCTACTCTGTCCTATAGGGTCACTATGAGTCGGAATCAACTCGACAGCAGTAGGTTTGGTTAGGTGTATAATAGCTAAGTCTTCAAACTTTATATTTTAAAATCACTGCATTTGAAACTAGTGATGAACGAATTGGAAATAGATGGGAGGTTGAAGGTCTAGCCCCGACTTACTTGTTAGAGGATTTTGAGAAAATTACTAAAATTCTTCAAGGTTCAATTTCCCAATTAGCTATGAAGAACAGTACATCATTATGCGGACTTGGAGAGGGGTAGTTTTTTGTAATCATCACTATTATTATTATAAGTATTGGTTTTTAAATAGATAATGATGTTGAAAGTCATATATAAACTGTAAAACAAAATACCAAATACCTTAACAGATACAGTAATAATACTACTTATTATTATTGTCACTATTGTAGATAGCCGATGAGTTATAATTAGATATTCAAACTGTTTTGTATTTCTTCCTTCAAATGCTTTCAGAAATAAATATCCCTTCTTCACCATCATCCCACAATGATTCTATTCCCTTTCCCATTATGGATCATGATGACTTTCAAAACTTCAGATCTTTCCTTCCTAACCCCTCGTCATAGCATCTCTGACGTACCTTTGAAATATATGCTAAGGAACCTCTAAAAGCTATAAGCTGTTTATCACACATGGCATCTTTGCTAGGTAAATGAATATATTAGCCAGTACCTTTCACAAAGTGTTATCATGCCTAATTGTGGGAATTGTGTCTGTTTCTTCTATTATAGGGAAAAGCAAAATGACAGCCCCAATAGATGAGACTGAGACTGAAGTTGAGGTCTTTGGGACCACACCCTACGACTACAGAGGGTTATGGCCATGTGAAAAAGTCAATATCAAGGATCTGGGGGCCCAGTTGCTGCCCCCGCTGTATTCCCTGGTGTTCATTGTTGGCCTGTTGGGCAATGTGGTGGTGGTGCTGATCCTCACAAAATATGGGAGGCTCAGAATTATGACCAACATCTACCTGCTCAACTTGGCGATTTCTGACTTGCTCTTTCTAGTCACTCTTCCATTCTGGATTCACTATGTTGGATGGAACAAGTGGGTTTTTGGCCATTACATGTGTAAGTTCCTCTCAGGATTTTATCACATAGGCTTGTACAGTGAGATCTTTTTCATCGTCCTGCTGACGATCGACAGGTACCTGGCCATTGTCCATGCTGTGTTTTCCCTGCGGGTCCGGACTGTCACCTTTGGTATCATAACCAGTATCTTCACCTGGGTCCTGGCAGGGCTAGCGGCCCTCCCTGAATTTATCTTCCGTGAGTTCCAAGAGGAGGATGAACACTCTGTCTGCAGTCCTTATTACCCAGAGGATGAAGAAGATACCTGGAAGCGTTTCCATGCTCTGAGAATGAGTATCTTGGGTCTTGCTGTCCCTCTACTCATTATGGCTATCTGCTACTCAGGAATCATTAAAACGCTGCTGAGATGCCCTAGTAGAAAAAAGTACAAGGCCATCCGGCTCATTTTTGTCATCATGGTGGTCTTTTTCATTTTCTGGACACCCTACAACCTGGTTCTCCTTCTTTCTACTTTTCAAGTGACCCTCCCTGAGAACAACTGTGAGCAGAGCAAACATCTGGACCTGGCCATGGCAGTGACAGAAGTAATCGCCTACACACACTGCTGCATCAACCCCATCATCTACGCCTTTGTTGGTGAGAGATTCCGGAAACACCTACATCACCTTTTCCACAGGCATGTGGGCATCTACCTGAGCAAATACCTTCCATTCCTTCCTAGAGAAACACTGGAAAGGGCCAGCTCTATCTCCCCATCAACAGGGGAGCAGAAACTACTCTCTGTAGAATTTTAGGTCAGTTACAGAAAATTGCCTAAAGAAGATGGACTGGGCAGGTGGAGCAAAAGACGTTAAGTCAACCACATTGACCTCCAGGCCAATCCTTTGGACTTCCAGCACAACACTGAGGTTCTTGAAGCCATTAGAATATATAAACAATGGTGGTGGCATGTCCGTGCACCCCAGAGGTCAAGGGCTGGGCAGTTTACTTATCATCAACCCTGAAAAGCAGAGCTTTGCTTGATTCTCTGAAGAGTTAAATAAATTTTAATGCAATTGTATGTCAGATAGTCACTATACACAGCTACGCAAAGGTACATTTTTTAATATTTTAAACTTTAACTTCAGTCAGCTATTGATATAAATGAAACCTATTTCACAAAATACAATAAATCAATTACTTTATTTCTTAATGTGTCTATGTCTTTCCTTGTCTGATGAAGAGACTTTTAATACATAGATATGCGTTCCAAGCAACGTAATGGCATATCACAACTGTCTTATTCAGAACAGATCAATTGAGTTTTTATTCAGACCAACTGTTCCCACGAGTGACTCAACAGAAGAGGAAGAGCAATTCAGTATATTCAGTATAGAGAATAAAGAACTCTCTCAGCGTCCTGAAATGTGAAGACACTGTTCTCTTAACTGTCAGTGTCACATTGCAGAGCATGCTAGGGGCTGCTCTACCTCCCTGTGAGCCTCCTGTACAAAACAGTGGCCCAGGTGAGGAAAGCGGAGATGCTGAGCTTGCAGGAACCCTCTGAAGCTCTGGCTCAGTGGTTCTTAAACTTGACATCAGAACCACTTGACGGTCTTGATAAAACACAGACTTCTGGGCCCTACTTCAGAACTTCTGATTCAGCAGGGCTAGGGTGGGGCCTGAGAATTTCATTGCTAGCAAGTTCCCAGGTGATGCTGCTGCTGATGCTGCCAGTCTGGGGACCACTTTTTGAGAACCACTACCCTAGCCAAAAGGCTCCTGGAGACCACCAGGAGTTATCCTTGAAAGCGAGAATTTCACAGTTCTCAGAGAAAACTGGAAAAGGCCTTTTTGATCTAGACTCTAAGAAGGACAATCACCATCCTGAGCAGCCCATAAATGATGTCAGTTGATCCTAAACTAATTAGGATCTAATTAGTAAGCCCATTAGGATCTAATTAGTAAGCCCATTAGGATCTAATTAGTAAGCCCATTACGATCTAATTAGTAAGGCCATTAGGATCTAATTAGTAAGCCCAATACGATCTAATTAGTAAGCCCATTACGATCTAATTAGTAAGCCCATTAGGATCTAATTAGTAACCTGATTAGGATTAGGATCTAATTAGCAAACTAATTAGTAACTAGGAATTTCTAGTCCACCATTTTTCCTCAGCTGAGCTTTTGTTGAGTGCTTTTCTTTAGGCTTTTTCTTTAAGGTCCTGCACTAGGAGCTATGGAAGATACAACGGTGAACCAGTCTTTGTGAGCTATATGCTGAGAAGAAAAATGCAACTTACGTTATAAAAGAATCCAAAACAAAGTAGGAATGGCCCAGATCCCCATTCCCTTCTCTTTAGCCTACTTATGGTTTCTTGGAGGAGTAAGTTCCAAGCTTCTGTTGAACTTGTGCCTCTCTGTAGAGATAACCTAGAATAGCATGAACCCTGATAACTGTTCACCCAACAACTCTCTGTTAGGTGATATGGAGGCACAAACAGCGATTTAGGTTAAATGAAGGACGCAAAAATGTATAAGACAAACACAGTCCCTGCCCCCATTAAACCTTCAGCCTAGAAGAGGGTATAAGAGAGAAACAAATAATTTCAGTGCAAAGAGGAACAGACTCAAGGCTATGACTGGTCCAGGAAGGGAGAGACCATTTCCAGTTGGAGTCTGAGGGAAGAAAGGCTTCAAGAAGGAAGTGTGGAGGCAAGGAAAGACTGGTCCAAGAGAGGAGACCAGAAGCACCAAGAGAAGAATTTAACTGAAAGACAGCGTGAAAGAAGAACTAAAGCTCTGGGATTGATACACAGCTGATTGAGAAAAGCAAAGAGCTAAACAGTGTATTATATTAAGGAAAAAAAAAAGACAGGAAATACACACAAACATATTTCTTTTTTCTTAGATGCATAGACCATCACTTAAAGCATATAAAAGAAATCAGTAACAATGGTTCTCCTTAGGGAGGGATATGGGTAGCTGGGAACACGGGAAGGAAGGTGATCTTCTCTGAATATCCGTTTGTGCCTTTGGGATTTTGAACCTTGGGAACATACTACCTATTCAAGAAATAATAAAACTTTAGAATTATGTAAAAAAATAAAAGTCTAGACTACTATTCAGATAAGGTATCCATCCCACCAGCCATAACGACATTAGAAGTGCCCTGCCATGAATTAACCCTATGACCTGGCACACATTACTTGGCCTATTTGGACCCCAATTTCCCCCATTCATATAATGAGGAGGTTGGATTAGATCATCTCTAGGCTTAGAGATACAGCTCAAGTAGACTCTGATCTTGCTAAAATATTGGGAGTTAGAGACTCAAAGTCTACAAAATTGTAAAAAAAAAAAAAGGAAGGGGTGTGATGGACAATCCCATAGCATCACTTCCCACTGGGTGTGAGATCAAGTGCATTTCCCATTGATCACTAAGGTGCATTCAGGTTTCACCTGTTCAGCCGTTCATCCAGTCATTCATTTTTCATGCATTCAGTAAATATTCGCTGAGCATCTACCATGTTCTGAGCTAAGGTACCCAGCTAAGTCCTAGGAAAAAAATCGGACACACCAAGGACCCTGACTTCAGGGACTTCACCATAAGATTGAACTCTGCCTTCTCCACTTCCAGAGTTCAAAGTCATGACTTTAAAAAAGAAGAATTGCCAATGCCTAAATCCAGCCCAGATGAGAGAAACTTCCACCTTAATACCAGAAAATATTGCTTCACCTCCCTGTCAGAGAGGGTGTGTACATACTCCTGGCCACTCATGCCATCCAGCCCCAATCTCTGGTGAGTGGCCTGTCTTACATTCATGCCTGTCTGAGAGCTCTTAACTCAACCCAGCCCTACATGGGCTATGCAGGATGTGGCCTTTGGAACATTCCAAGTCGTGCAACACAAATCTCACTCAGGTCGGCTAAGAAACTTTGAAGTACTTTTTCTTTTTTTTGTGGTTAAGTCAATTTGTAAAGAAAATGATCATTTAAAAATGTAACTATGCATCATCAGTTCTCACTTGCATGGTGAAGTGGTGTTTGCTCTTAGGTAACCACAGAGTACATACAGGCTCTTGTCCGCATTTCCCTCATCCCTGAAATCTCTTAGAGCCTTTGTGACTCACACAAAACTACACATAACCAAATCATGCATTCAGTGTGGTTCCATGTTGCTCTCCAGCCCTGTGCTGTCCAGTACAACTATCTGCAGTGACAGAAATACTCTATATCTGCGTTGGCCAATATGTTCACCGCGAGCCCTGGTGGCACAGTGGTTAAGAGCTTGGCTGCTAACCAAAAGGTCAGCGGCAGTTCGGATCCACCAGCTGCTCCTTGCAAACCCTATAGGGCAGTTCAACTCCGTCCTATAGGGTCACTATGTGTCAGAATTGACTTAACGGCAACTTTTTTTAAAAAATCCACATGCAGATATTGAGCACTGGGAATGTGGCTAGTGTGACTGAGGAATGGAATTTTTTCTTTTATTAAATTTTAGTGAATTTGAATTTAAATTTAAATAGCTATATGTGGCTAGTGGCACAGCGCTGGCCTTTTCAAACTGACCTCCTCACCTCTATCCTACCTACCTGTCAAGCTTCCCGCAGTCTGCAAATAAATGATTTCAACACTGTGTCCTAAAAGCAGGGCAAATGCTGGTGCTACAAAGATGAATACAATCTGGTTTTAGAACACTCACATTTCAGTGGAAGAGACCCATTTGACTCATATGACCGACCATATGAAACATGATGGGTGCCTGAAGGACCCTGCTGCGGAAAGCAGAAAAGGTAATTGAGGAAAGGTACGTACAGAAGGTGATGTTTGGTTCAGGTTGTCTTACCCCAGGAGCAGACAGTGCAAGGATTTGAGAGCAAAGAGTTTATTTAGAAAGTGCAGAAAACTCTAGTAAAGAAGTGGGGAAGTGAAACAGGGTAGGGAAAATGTCAATGAAGGATATATTTTCAAGCCACCTTCCACTGGGGGTGACGGAAGCTTAAACCCACTAGCAAATTCTGGGAAACAGTGTAACACACACATCTCAGTTATCCCATGTGAGGGATGAGGGAGTTGGGGTATTTATATGCCACTCT